TTTGCAGAGCCAGTTCACAGAGTGGTCACTGGGACCATTTCTCCTTGAATTGTTAGTCATGTTGTTAGTCACCCTCACTGAGGACCCCTCACTGAGGACCCTCACTGGGGACCCCTCACTGGGGACCCCTCACTGAGGACCCTCACTGGGGACCCCTCACTGAGGACCCTCACTGGGGACCCTCACTGAGGACCCCTCACTGAGGACCCTCACTGGGGACCCCTCACTGAGGACCCCTCACTGAGGACCCTCACTGAGGACCCTCACTGAGGACCCTCACTGAGGACCCCTTACTGAGGACCTCTCACTGAGGACCCTCACTGGGGACCCCTCACTGAGGACCCTCACTGGGGACCCCTCACTGAGGACCCTCACTGGGGACCCCTCACTGAGGACCCTCACTGGGGACCCCTCACTGAGGACCCTCACTGGGGACCCCTCACTGAGGACCCTCACTGGGGACCCTCACTGGGGACCCCTCACTGAGGACCCTCACTGGGGACCCCTCACTGAGGACCCCTCACTGAGGACCCTCACTGAGGACCCTCACTGAGGACCCTCACTGAGGACCCTCACTGAGGACCCTCACTGAGGACCCCTCACTGAGGACCCTCACTGAGGACCCTCACTGAGGACCTCTCACTGAGGACCCTCACTGAGGACCCCTTAGCGAGGACCTCTCACTGAGGACCCTCACTGAGGACCCCTTACTGAGGACCCCTTACTGAGGACCCTCACACGTGAGGGACATAACTAGCCGACCTCTCACGGTCTTCAAGAGAGAAGTTGGTAAACACCTCCAAATGGCCCCTGATCAACCGGGCCCCCACAACCCCATCGGGTACAAGATGTACCCGGGAACGCGCGCCGCTGCCCCAAACAGTCTGCTAGACCACGAGACCAGGTCAGCGACGTGTTCCAGGAACGTAGCGTGAGGGTCCAGGTGGCGGAGACGTCGCTCTTACGCTCACACATAAAAACATAAGGAAAATGGAGAAAGCTTGTTGGTCCATGCAAGGCAACTCATTGATTTTTCAACAAATTATTCGTATCAACATACTTGATACAAGGTATACTTGATACATGTACATTTATACAGCTACGCAAGACTATGTGAAGGGTTATATAGTGTCAAAAGTTAGGTATGTGATACTAACAATTCCCCATCTCGCAGGATGGTCTAACCTACGCTTGAAACAATCCAGCTATCCCGCGTGTATTATGTTACTTGGTAAGTAATTGTGAAGGGCAGGCACGCGGTAAGATTTATTGATCTCCAGCTGGAGCTTCTGGGTAGTTGTGTGACCGTTGTTAACTGTTTCTGACTAACCACAGTCCCAGGAAGACGAGCGTCACCCCTCCCACCCTTCCCCTTCCACAGCTCCCAGAACCCTCGTCTGACGTTAAGATTTCCAATACCTTCTTCCTACCCGTTGGTTGGTAATGGTGCAGGTGCTCGGGGCTGTGTCTGAGGCTGTCACTTTGTCGATTTCCTCGCTGTCTACTTCACTTTGTTGGTTTCCTCACTGTTTGCTGAATTATAACCTGACAGTTAGGATGACCGAGGACCACAGAGGTGGGAATAGCCCCTGTGGCTATTCTGCTGGTATTTTGTTAAACTATGTACTGCTCTCTTGTTATATTAGAGCGGGAAGATCATGCCTCTCACAGCTGACGAGAGAGATACCAAATAATATACACGTGGAAGATACTGGAGGGCCAAGTACCAAATCTACACAGTAAAATAACGACGTACTGGAGTGAACGATATGGAAGAAAATGCAGAATAGAACCAGTGAAGAGCAGAGGTGCCATAGGCACAATCAGAGAACACTGTATAAACATCAGAGGTCCGCGGTTGTTCAACGTCCTCCCAGCGAGCATAAGAAATATTGCCGGAACAACCGTGGACATCTTCAAGAGAAAACTAGACTGTTTCCTAAAAGAAGTTCCGCACCAACCGGGCTGTGGTGGGTATGTGGGCCTGCGGGCCGCGCCAAGCAACAGCCTGGTGGACCAAACTCTCACAAGTCAAGCCTGGCCTCGGGCCGGGCTTGGGGAGTAGCAGAACTCCCAGAACCCCATCAACCAGGTATCAACCAGCTACTTGACCACTACGACAATATCACTGAGGCATTACAAGAAAAAAATGCAGATGTGGTATACACACACAAAGCTGGAGAAATTGCTGACCTGGAGAGCGTGCAGAGATCCTTTACTGCTAGAATCCACTCAGTAAAACATCTAAACTACTGGGACCGACTAAAGAGCCTAAATCTGTATTGCCTTGAGCGCAGGCGGGAGAGATACATAATAATATACACGTGGAAAATAATTGAGGGGCTGGTCCCAAACCTGCACACAGAAATAGCATCACATGAGACCAGAAGACATGGCAGGATGTGCAGAATACCCCCGTTGTAGAGCAGAGGTGCAACAGGTACTCTGAGAGAGAACTATCAACATCAGAGGCCCGAGACTGTTCAACACGCTTCCACTACACATAAGGGGCATAACTGGCAGACCCCTCACAGTGTTCAAGAGAGAACTGGATAAACACCTCCAAAGGATACCTGATCAACCAGGCTGTGACTCATACGTCAGGCTGCGAGCAGCCGCGTCTAACAGCCTGGTTGATCAGTCCAGCAGCCAGGAGGCCTGGTGGAGGACCGGGCCGCGGGGACGCCAAGTCCCGGAACCATCGTAAGGTAACCGCACGGTAACCTCCACTAATAAAGAGTCGTGATCCACCGCTAAAAAAAAAACATAGAGAGAAAGATTCAACACGGGCGTACACCGCATACCTGTGAGGAAGCGCAGGCGCGCACACACGCGCCACCCTGAGGCCATGCACGCTTGCAAGAGCTGACAGACATGCAAGCATACATGCACATGCACACTGTGCGCTCATGTACACCGTGCGTTCATGCACACTGTGTACAAATGTGTCCGCACGGGTCCACACTCACGTAAACACAAGCATGTGCGTGCATGCCAAATTGTACTGTCGTAGTTGTATGTGCGGGGGATAAGCCACGGCCCTTGGGTCCCATCTCTATGTCATTAATCAGCTGGTGTGTAGGTTCCAGAGCCTCGGGCCCATGCTTGATATATTCAGACTCCGAGCATCTACGTCTAGCAGCAGCCCGCCCTCCAAACATAGACCCAAAAGTGATTCCATCCACCCGCCAAACCCCAGCTGTTTATGAATGAAAAACGGTTTACACACGACTCACAACTGATGACGTTCGAACATATCCGGAACAAGTGCTTCACTGACGAATTCTGTTCGAACCACAACGCTATAAATGCTTCACCCACGTACTACAAATACAAATAATCGCCAACAGAACCTAAACACCTAACCTAACCTAACCTATGCCTATATATGCACAATATGCTAATATATTATAATATTAATTTATACTTGAGAAGATTCCCGTTTTGAATGAACAGCATATTAAAATTTCTGAATGCGTCTGTGGGGTCGACCGCTGGATGTAATGGACTTGAGTCGAGGACGGGTTGTTGAGAGAGAGCGGGCTGGGAGACAAATAAGGGCGAAGAGGTAGAATAGCTTATTGAGTTCGGGTGCATGGGGGCAATTGTGTAAAACTCTGGATAGTGTCTCAGAGAGGCTGCAGGATCCGTGTGAGGTCAGTTGAACTCCCGGTTGCAATTCTTTTACCATGTTGTAGCACAGTCGATTAAGGCGCGTCTGGGATCCTCTCGGACGTAACTTCGAACCCTCATCATGGCCCTTGTGGATTTGTTCATTTGATGCATCACGTTGTTGTGATTTCTGTGTGTAAATATATATATATATATATATATATATATATATATATATATATATATATATATAATATATATATAACTAGTAAGGGTGAAGCAGGTGTATCGTTATGAGTTACACAAGAAAGTTTAGCTTAAATTAAGAAGTGTAGAGGGAGGGAGGACCGCGACAGTGGCCGTGATGGAAGGTTATCGGGGAAGTAATAGCCACAAAAATTATGGCTGAGGACATTCTTGCCAGGCTCCAGGCTCCTGACATCATCCTCGCCCCGGTATAAATACATTCCCAAATACTTTGGAACCTATTTCACATTGTTCCCATTTGTTGCTCTTTTTATGTACTGAACTATCTTGAGTCTTGAGATGATTTCGGGGCTTTTTAGTGTCCCCGCGGCCCGGTCCTCGACCTGGCCTCCACCCCCAGGAAGCAGCCCGTGACAGCTGACTAACTCCCAGGTACCTATTTTACTGCTAGGTAACAGGGGCATAGGGTGAAAGAAACTCTGCCCATTGTTTCTCGCCGGCGCCTGGGATCGAACCCAAGACCACAGGATCACAAGTCCAGCGTGCTGTCCGCTCGGCCGACCGACTATAATTACTTGTATCAAAGTCAATTTAACCTCGAACGAGCCCACTCCAAGCAAGAGCCAAGCAAGGTCTACCCTAGGAAGCCTGGTGTGTTAACCTCAAGTCTATGTTGTTGTTTAAGATTCGCTACTTGGAACAAAAAGTTCCAAAGTAGCACAGGCTATGGTGAGCCCGTTGTGGACTTACCTGGCACAGGAGCGGTGCTGTAACTTTTGTGCCTAAAGTCTAGTAACTTGTGTAAATATAGATACCTTGGCTGGAGTACACACACAGATCACAATAACGTGATGCATCAATGAATAAATCCACAAGGGCCGTGACGAGGATTCGAACCTACGTCTGTGAGCATCCCAGACGCTGCCTTAATCGACTGAGCTACGACATGGTAAAACCATGTCTCTTTTACCATGGCGTAGCTCAGTCGATCAAGGCAGCGTCTGGGATGCTCACAGACGTAGGTTCGAATCCTCGTCACGGCCCTTGTGGATTTGTACCTTGGTTGGATGTAACGTGATAGTCACGTACAGCAGATAGTCTGACAACATACTATCGACATATTTATCACGAGTCCAGGCCGGGCTCCGGGAGTTGAAGAACTTCCAGAACCCTCTCCAGGTATGGCTCCATATGCTCCAGGTATGGCTCCATATGCTCCAGGAATGGCTCCATATGCTCCAGGTATGGCTCTATATGCTCCAGGTATGGCTCCATATGCTCCAGGTATGACATGATTCTCCCAAGTCATTTACATTGCTTCCTCTTTCAATAGTGTGGTGTGACAGCGTTTTATATATGGTTTCCGTTTTGACATTTTCGTTTTTCCCATACCACAGAAGTTCCAGGTACTGTACTATGGGAAAAGCGAAAATTCGCAAACGGAAATCACATACAAAACGCAGTCCAGTAGAAGGAAAAATTAATGTATAAGACTTGGAAGTAATCATGTCGGAAGACCTTACTGCTAAAGAACATGATAAAGTAGCTATTACAACTGCAAGAATAGGTTGGATAACAAGAACTTTACAAACAAGAGATGCCATACCTATGATGATAGTTTTTAAGACACTAGTGCTCTCTAGGGTGGAATATTTTTGCACACTAACAGCCCCATTCCGCACACTAAGGGAGCCGGTCGGCCGAGCGGACAGCACACTGGACTTGTGATCCTGTGGTCCTGGGTTCAATCCCAGGCGCCGGCGAGAAACAATGGGCAAAGTTTCTTTCACCCTATGCCCCTGTTACCTAGCAGTAAAATAGGTACCTGGGTGTTAGTCAGCTGTCACGGGCTGCTTCCTGGGGGTGGAGGTCTGGTCGAGAACCGGGCCGCGGGGACACTAAAGCCCCGAAACCATCTCAAGATAACCTCAAGATAACCATTCAGAGCTGGAGAAACTGCTGACCTGGAGAACGTGCAAAGATATTTTGCTGCTAGAATCTATTCATTAACTCTAAAATTTTGGGAGCAATTAAAATGTTAAAAATCTATTCTATAGGATATATTCTAATCTATTCTATTCTATAATCTATTCTATATTCTAGAAAGGATTTGGGTGTACTCATGTCGGAAGACCTTACCTTTAAAGAACACAATAAAGTAGCCGTCACAACTGCAAGAAAAATGACAGGTTGGATAACAAGAACCTTTCACACTAGAGATGCTATACCGATAATGATACTTTTCAAAACGCTTGTGCTCTCTAGAGTGGAGTACTGCTGCACAATGACAGCCCCTTTCAAAGCTGGAGAAATTGCTGACCTGGAGAGCGTGCAGAGATCCTTTACTGCTAGAATCCACTCAGTAAAACATCTAAATTACTGGGACCGACTAAAGAGCCTAAATCTGTACTCCCTTGAGCGCAGGCGGGAGAGATACATAATAATTAACACGTGGAAAATAGTAGAGGGGCTGGTCCCAAACCTGCACACAGAAATAACACCACATGAGACCAGAAGACATGGCAGGATGTGCAGAATACCCCCGTTGAAGAGCAGAGGCGCAACAGGTACTCTGAGAGAGAACTATCAACATCAGAGGCCCGAGACTGTTCAACACGCTTCCACTACACATAAGGGGCATAACTGGCCGACCCCCTCAACAGCCTGGTTGACCAGACCATCAGCCAGGAGACCTGGTCGGGACCCGGGCTGCTGAGACGTTGAACTCTCGGAACCCCCGCACGGTAAAGTATGGAAGAGGTAGAGGTCTTGTAAGTGGACGTGTAAGATGCTCGATGATTCCCGGCCCCAGGGCAAGGATTCCCACAACCACTTACGAAGTCTGTGCATCTTTCAACAATCATGGCGACTTTATTTACATTTATTAAACAGTTTACGAGCTTGAGAACGTCACAACACAAGGTTATTACTGTTTTAGACAACCTCGTAGCGCTTCGGAGCTCATAAACTCTTTAATAAATGTAAACAAACCGGCCATAATTGTTGAGAGATGTACAGGTTCTGTAAGTGGCTGCGTAAATACTTTGTGAATCCTGTGGCAGGTCACCACTCCTATCTTATTCCAGGGTCATCGTGGTCGTACACAGACACGCGTGGTAGAGGTGCACGCACATGTACGGCTAATGTAGTTACGTACGCAAGCGCACGTGCATACACGTGTACACGCATAGACGGAACAACTAGGCGAGTACAGTTAGACTGAGTCAGTTCGTGCTGGTGAAAAATATGAGGATGATACAGTAGACTAAATAAGGTGTGATGGAGCAGCTGGGAGCGGCGGGTAGCGTGAGGCGCCGGACTCTTGAGGTTATCTTGAGATGATTTCGGGGCTTTAGTGTCCCCGCGGCCCGGTCCTCGACCAGGCCTCCATCCCCAGGAAGCAGCCCGTGACAGCTGACTAACACCCAGGTACCTATTTTACTGCTAGGTAACAGGGGCATAGGGTGAAAGAAACTCTGCCCATTGTTTCTCGCCGGTGCCTGAGATCGAACCCAGGACCACAGGATCACAAGTCCCGCGTGCTGACCGCTCGGCCGACCGACTCCCTGAGAAGGGTTATTCAGTAAATTCAATTTTAATAATAAAAGGATTGACTGGGAGAAAATAAAGGGAACTTACAAACATTCAGTGGGTAACTGTTCTAAGTAATAAATGTCCTACACAAGGAATATAAAAACTGACTTCTGAAGCATATAAAGTCTGTCTGAAACATGTTCCTTTGAGGAAAGCCTAAAACAGGTCCAACGTAGAAAGAGAACGCAGACTAAGAGATCAAGCAGGTATCAAGCAGACGACACTACAAAAGAAGAAAATAATAACGGAAATGCTTGAGCAGACACGACTTTCCCTATAAAGAAGGAATAATTTAAACAGGGAGATTGAAGAAATCGAGCAGCGACTGAAACACTCATATCAGACTGAAGAAAGGCAACTAGAATAGAAAGCAATTCAAGAAATAAAGGAAAACCCAAAATATTTCTTCACATATGCGAAATCAAAAGCAAAAACCACTTTCAGTATTGGACCTATTCGTATTAGTGAAGGTTCATACAGTTATGATGAGAAAGAAATTAGTGAAATCCTAAAAAAAAACAGTATATGGACACGTTAGTTCTCATAAACAACATTATCTAACCTTGATGTAAAAGATCCTTACTTGTTGCAGACCCACATATCTATCAGAGCCCGGTTGGCGCGGCACTTCCTGCAGGAACGTGTCCTCGGGGCTTCCCGAAACAAAAGGAAATATTATTTTCAAGGGAAATGATTGTTCGTAGAGAGGCGCGACGGGTGTTACCCAGCACTAGGAAATCTTGGCTGGCTTGTGACCAGTTGTTCATGATGAGAGTGGATGAAGTGTTTGCGACTCTCCAGGTCGGGCCGGGCTCGGGGCAGTAAAAGAACTCCCAGAACCCCACCAAGCAGATAAAGCAGGACCCGACGCCGACAGGTTTGAAGGTGTAATGATTGAATATTATTCACTACACATAAGGGGCATAACTGGCCGACCCCTCACAGTGTTCAAGAGAGAATTCGATAAACACCTCCAAAAGATACCTGATCAATCAGGCTGTGACTCATACGTCAGGCTGCGAGCAGCCGCGTCCAACAGCCTGGTTGATTTGCAGCGGGGGCTTAGCGTCCCCGCGGCCCGGTCGTCGACCAAGCCTCCTCGTTGCTGGACTGGTCAACCAGGCTGTTGGACGCAGCTGCTCGCAGCCTGACGTATGAGTCACAGCCTGGTTGATCAGGTATCTTTTGGAGGTGTTTATCAAGTTCTCTCTTGAACACTGTGAGGGGTCGGCCCCGGTCCCCTCTCCCCTCCCCCCCCCTCCTGGTCCCCTCCACAACCATCACCTCTCCCCCCCCCCCCTCATTACCATCCATGGTTGTTCAACCAGAAAGATATTTAAGCTCAAATTCTCCGGCGTCGGCCAGAGTTTGAGAACTTTTATTTTTCTCTGAAGTTTCCTATATACTTGTTCCCAAGATTTTGTTTGATCATTTTGTGAAAGTTTTTATGTATTTTTAACTCTTTTTTTCACTTGAGTTGTGCATATCATTGCCTGTTAATGATTAATGTCGGCGGGAAATACATTGTGAATGTGGTTAAATGTGCCACATTTACATTATTCATGACATGCTAAGACAGGGGTTTTATTTTTTATTTAATTTTTTTTAACCTTTCCGCGAGGAGTTTAGGGCCGGGACGGATGCACTTTTAACCTCATGTATTGTGTGTGATTTTTTAATTACGCTCAAATATAAAATGTTAAGTTTTGTGAGGATGGAAATGCTTTGATGTATAATTAATGGGAGGGAGAAAAGATTGGTTTAGAGTGAGGGGCTTCTCTTGCAGGTGAAGGAGTTGTTGAATATTGTAGTGCAGTGGTTGTTTCTCTACCACACACGTGGCCACACATTTACAATGCTAACCAGCATATACACATTTTCTTGTGTCTTCCATGGACAGGGTGAGAGATGTGTTGAACATATAGTTCAGGGGTTTATTGAACACTCAACCACAGAAGGTGTTAGCTGTAGTGTAGTGTGAGGCTTAGTGTGCGGGTACCAGGTGGCCCGGGGCATGCTACCCGCCTCCACTCACACACACCACTTACCTCTCCACTGTAGAGTCCACTTAGTTCACTTACGCCTCCACAGTAGAGTCCACTTACTCCACTTACGTCTCCACTGTAGAGTCCACTTACTCCACTTACGTCTCCACTGTAGAGTCCACTTAGGTCTCCACAGTAGAGTCCACTTAGTCCACTTACGTCTCCACTGTAGAGTCCACTTACGTCTCCACTGTAGAGTCCACTTACGTCTCCACTGTAGAGTCCACTTACGTCTCCACTGTAGAGTCCACTTACGTCTCCACTGTAGAGTCCACTTACGTCTCCACTGTAGAGTCCACTTACGTCTCCTCCACTGTAGAGTCCACTTACGTCTCCACTGTAGAGTCCACTTACGTCTCCACTGTAGAGTCCACTTACGTCTCCACTGTAGAGTCCACTTACGTCTCCACTGTAGAGTCCACTTAGTCCACTTACGTCTCCACTGTAGAGTCCACTTACGTCTCCACTGTAGAGTCCACTTACGTCTCCACCGTAGAGTCCACTTACGTCTCCACTGTAGAGTCCACTTACGTCTCCACTGTAGAGTCCACTTACGTCTCCACTGTAGAGTCCACTTACTCACTGTAGAGTCTTACGTCTCCACTGTAGAGTCCACTTACGTCTCCACTGTAGAGTCCACTTAGTCTCACTTACGTCTCCACTGTAGAGTCCACTTACGTCTCCACTGTAGAGTCCACTTACGTCTCCACTGTAGAGTCCACTTACGTCTCCACTGTAGAGTCCACTTACCACTTACGTCTCCACTGTAGAGTCCACTTACGTCTCCACTGTAGAGTCCACTTACGTCCACTTACCTCCACTGTAGAGTCCACTTACGTCTCCACTGTAGAGTCCACTTACATCTCCACTGTAGAGTCCACTTACATCTCCACTGTAGAGTCCACTTACGTCTCCACTGTAGAGTCCACTTACGTCTCCACTGTAGAGTCCCTTATATCTTAGAGTCCACTTACTCAACTTACGTCTCCACTGTAGAGTCCACTTACGTCTCCACTGTAGAGTCCTTACGTCTCCACTGTAGAGTCCACTTACGTCTCCACTGTAGAGTCCACTTACTCTCCACTGTAGAGTCCACTTACGTCTCCACTGTAGAGTCCACGTCTCCACCGTAGAGTCCACTTGTAGAGCCCACTTACGTCTCCACTGTAGAGTCCACTTAGTTCACTTACGTCTCCACTGTAGAGTCCACTTACGTCTCCACTGTAGAGTCCACTTAGTCCACTTACGTCGTAGAGTCCACTTACCACTGTAGAGTCCACTTACGTCTCCACTGTAGAGTCCACTTACGTCTCCACTGTAGAGTCCACTCTTACGTCTCCACTGTAGAGTCCACTTACGTCTCCACTGTAGAGTCCACTTACACTTACGTCTCCACTGTAGAGTCCACTTACGTCTCCACTGTAGAGTCCACTTACGTTTCCACTGTAGAGTCCACTTACGTCTCCACTGTAGAGTCCACTTACATCTCCACTGTAGAGTCCACTTATTTCACTTACGTCTCCACTGTAGAGTCCACTTACGTCTCCACTGTAGAGTCCACTTACATCTCCACTGTAGAGTCCACTTATTTCACTTACGTCTCCACTGTAGAGTCCACTTACGTCGCCACTGTAGAGTCCACTTACGTCTCCACTGTAGAGTCCACTTACGTCTCCACTGTAGAGTCCACTTACCTCTCCACTGTAGAGTCCTCTTACGTCTCCACTGTAGAGTCCACTTACGTCTCCACTGTAGAGTCCACTTACGTCTCCACTGTAGAGTCCACTTACGTTTCCACTGTAAAGTCCACTTACGTCTCCACTGTAGAGTCCACTTACATCTCCACTGTAGAGTCCACTTATTTCACTTACGTCTCCACTGTAGAGTCCACTTACGTCTCCACTGTAGAGTCTACTTACATCTCCACTGTAGAGTCCACTTATTTCACTTACGTCTCCACTGTAGAGTCCACTTACGTCTCCACTGTAGAGTCCACTTACGTCTCCACTGTAGAGTCCACTTACGTCTCCACTGTAGAGTCCTCTTACGTCTCCACTGTAGAGTCCACTTACGTCTCCACTGTAGAGTCCACTTACGTCTCCACTGTAGAGTCCACTTACGTCTCCACTGTAGAGTCCTCTTACGTCTCCACTGTAGAGTCCACTTACGTCTCCACTGTAGAGTCCACTTACGTCTCCACTGTAGAGTCCACTTACGTCTCCACTGTAGAGTCCACTTAGCTCACTTACGTCTCCACTGTAGAGTCCACTTACGTCTCCACTGTAGAGTCCTCTTACGTCTCCACTGTAGAGTCCACTTACGTCTCCACTGTAGAGTCCACTTACGTCTCCACTGTAGAGTCCACTTAGCTCACTTACGTCTCCACTGTAGAGTCCACTTACGTCTCCACTGTAGAGTCCACTTACGTCTCCACTGTAGAGTCCACTTAGTCCACTTACGTCTCCACCATAGAGTCCACTTACGTCTCCACCGTAGAATACACTTAGTCCACTTACGTCTCCTCTGTAGAGTCCACTTACTCCACTTAAGTCTCCACTATAGTGTCCACTTACGAGACCTGGTCGTCTGGTCACAATCGTGGTGGTGTGGCGGTATTTAGTGAACAGTTGACGACGTCGTCATCATCGACGTCAAAGTTGCTATTGTTATGGACGACCTCGTAACTCGTCGGGGCTCGTAAACTGCTTAGTAAATCCCGACTAGTGCGCCATGTCTAAGATGAAAGGTACAAATTTCGTAAGTGAACACGTAAGTGCTTGCTTTGTGACTCCCGCCCCTGTTTAGCACTAGCGAGGGAACATGCAATATGTGCTCTTTTACCCCATCAAAGTGTATCACCCAAAGTCTTCAGAACAAAAACTTACCATCTTCTCACATGTACACTTGCGAGAAGCCCTCCTCGCAAGTGTACTGAATCCCCCTCATATCTCTATACAGATATACATATATCTGTATACAGATATACATATATCTATACAGATATACATATATCTATACAGATATACATATATCTATACAGGTATATATATATCTATACAGATATACATATATCTGTATACAGGTAAACATATATCTGTATACAGATATACATATATCTATACAGATATACATATATCTATACAGGTATACATATATCTATACAGATATACATATATCTGAATACATATATCTGTATACAGATATACATATATCTGTATACAGATATGAGGGGATTCTGGTGCCTTATCAGTCAAATATTTTGTGTCCGGTTTTATCTTGCTCTTGTTAGGCCTCATTTCCTCTAGGCAGTTTTTTTGTCGTGGTGTTGAATGGATATAAATTCACCTGCATTGTAAATATACATATAAGGATCAAAGGGTAGACAATAACTTCATTTAAGATCTTTATTTTGATTATCAAGTAGGCAGGGTACGTTACCTTGATGGTGTTATGAAGATTTGTGGCCCCGCGGCCATCAGTCAGATATTAAGTCCAAGCGCCCGATTCACGAAAGCACTTACGCAAGCACTTACGAACGTGTACATCTTTCCTCAATCTTTGACGGTTTTGGTTACATTTATTAAACAGTTTACAAGCAGGAAAACTTCCCGTTCAACTGTTGTTATTGTTATAAACAGCCTCCTGGTGCTTCGGAGCTCATTAACTGTTTAATGAATGGAAACAAAGCCGCCAAAGATTGAGAAAAGATGTACAGGTTCGTAAGTGCTTTCGTGAATCTGGCCCCAAGCGCAGTGAAAAGTTCTGTACCCCAGGGCACAGTCCTTGCACCACTGCTTTCTCTCACTCATATCAGATATAGACAAAAATACTCGCCACAGCTTCGTGTCATCCGTTGCAGATAATACAAAAATCAGCATTAAAATGACATCTGTGGAAGACACTGAAAAAACTATAAGTCTTCGATTGGGCAACGGAAAATAAAGTGATGTTTAATAATGAAAAGTTTCGCGTACTCAGGTATGGTGGAAACGAGGAACTTAAACGACATACTTTCTTAGTGCTGCTCTGTAAGGTTGTCTGTGAGTGGGGTCGGGTATGGTGTTTTTAGCGGTTTTCATTTTTATTTTTACATCTGTTATTTTGACAGATAAAGAAACAAAGTGTATAAACTAACGTTGTTAGCGTCCTAATGACCAATAGTCCACTCAACTTGATACGCCACTATACCATGTGTTTATGTTGACCAGACCACACTAGAAGTTGAAGGGACGACGACGTTTCGGTCCGTCCTGGACCATTCTCAAGTCGATTGTGAAGTCAACATACTTCAGCCACGTTATTGTGACTCATCGCCTGTCCATGTGTTTATCTTATCATACTACGTGTGTAAAGGAGGAAATGTATATGTTTATCTCTCAGAATGTTTGGTAATATGTTTATTGTTTGTGATGTGTGTCTATGTATGTATTAACACGATGTACTGAACGAGGTGAGAATAGCTTGAGCTACCTCATCCCTTCGTGTGTATTTTACCTCAATAAACTTATTTCAATTTCAATGTGTTTATATTCTCCATAGTATTCCTCGATGAGGAACTTATTATATATTTAAATGTTCAGGAAGCATTTTGTCGCCTGCTTCTCTTATCCTCATGATTTGATGTGTGTTGTGTTTGGTGTGTTGTGTTGTGTTGTGTTGTGTATACTGCTGTGTTGTGTGTGTTGGTGTGTGGGTCTCACTATGAGAGGCGCTCATAGTGCCCGGGGCGTCTCCCGCTCGCTGTCTCCGTCACAAGACAGTACTGGCTCTACCCGTTCCGGCACCACCCTGTGTACTCTTCCACCCCCCCCCTCGTACCCTCCCCCTCTATCTCCCCCCCCCCCCCCCATTCCTCCAGATCCCCCCTCCCCCTTTAGCTCCCCCCATTCCTCCAGATCCCCCCTCCCCCCGTTTCCTCAAGCTACTCCGTTCCCGCAATCTCTCCCTCTTTCCTCAAGCTTCCCCAACCTCTCCATATTCCTACCCCCGCCCCCTCCTTCCTAAACTTGCCAGCCCAACTTCTTCATCTCTAACACAAGTTCTTCCCGACAACTTTTCCCCAAACTTTGGCCTTCGTGTGTCGCAACTCCAGGCACGCTCAGGTGGATTTGGATAGTGTGGAACGATGATGATTTCCTCCGCGATGTGAAGATAGGTTACCTGGAGGAATTCTTTGTGAGGTACTTGTACCCCCACTGTGTAATGCCTTTAGCTACTGTAACATGTATCAACTGTTGACCAGACCACACACTAGTAAGTGAAGGGACGACGACGCTTCGGTCCGTCCTGGACCATTCTCAAGTCGATTGTGAGACGTTCACAATCAACTTGATAATGGTTGATACCTGGTTGATGGGGTTCTTGGAGTTCTTCTACTCCCCAAGCCCGGCCCGAGGCCAGGCTCGACTTGTGAGAGTTTGGTCCACCAGGCTGTTGCTTGGAGCGGCCCGCAGGCCCACATACCCACCACAGCCCGGTCCAGGACGAACCGAAACGTCGTCCTCCCTGAACTTTTTAGTGTGTGGTTTGGTCAACATTTTTCAGCCACGTTATTGTGACTCCTCGTCTGCCTGTATCAACTGTAACACACCCCAGTGTATCCCCTACAGGTGTACAGTGTACACCTGTAGTTGGGTCCCTGTTGTTAATATGCATTGTAATCACTTGCCTTGAAATGATTCCGGGAATCAGTGACACCCCCCCCCCCCCGCGGCCAGGTGTTAAACCAGGCCTCCTGGTGGACCGACCTGACGTGGACACCACAGCCTAGTGGGTCATGCACACTTTGAAAGTGGGATTCAGTTTCGCTTCTAAAAGTTGTTAGTGTTCTGTTGGTAATGCCTTTTATGTTTAGAGGGAGGTTGTTGTATCTTAATGTTTAAATGTTTTTTTTAAGAAACGTTTAAAGAATTATCCTTAAGAAAATTTATTACACCTCTACTCTTCAACGGGGGTATTCTGCACATCCTGCCATGTCTTCTGGTCTCATGTGATGTTATTTCTGTGTGCAGGTTTGGGACCAGCCCCTCTACTATTTTCCACGTGTAAATTATTATGTATCTCTCCCGCCTGCGCTCAAGGGAGTACAGATTTAGGCTCTTTAGTCGGTTCCAATTGTTTAGATGTTTTACTGTTTCTAGCAGTAAAGGATCTCTGCACGCTCTCCAGGTCAGCAATTTCTCCTGCTTGGAAAGGTGCTGTCATTGTGCAGCAGTACTCCACTCTAGAGACTAGCGCCTTGAAAAGTATCATCATCGGTATAGCATCTCTAGTGTGAAAAGTTCTTGTTATCCAACCTGTCATTTTTCTTGCAGTTGTGACGGCGACTTTATTGTGTTCTTTAAAGGTAAGGTCTTCCGACAGGAGTACATCCAAATCCTTTGCATTACTTTTTGGTTCTATTATTATGATTTGACTGTGTTTTGTACGTGGTCTCTGTTTTTATATTTTAATTTTTTCCGTAGCGCATGAGCTGGAACTTCTTCATTAAATACATATTATTTTCTGTAGCCCATTGAAAGACCTGATCTACATCTGATTAGAGGTTTGCCGTGTCCTCTATGTTGCCGACTCTCATAAAAATCCTAGTGTCATGTGCAAAGGATGATACAGTGCTATAGGTTGTGTCCTTGTCTTTGTTACTTGATCCAGTTACTTTTATGTCTCAAGAACTGTTGAAGATATGCAATTGAAGTTTGGAAAAAGCAAGTTTTTGAGACTGAAGTCATTTCAAGTTTTCCATATAACCCCATGCACTGGCCTCAAGGTGTCATGTGCCTGGCTACCCTTGCCGCTACTGATCCCTGATTTATTGTGTGGGAAAGGGAAGGATGCTCAAATTTTCACCATCACCGCACCGTCTGGGACTCTGGAAGGATAAACCTTTAGTGGAGGACGCGCGGTGTCTCATGGGACTGTCATGTTTGGCATCCTGCCAGTGTGTCTTAGAGGTCAGGCGCTAGACGGATCTCCAGAGAGGAATCTGGCGTCATGTCTTGAAACACATGTAAAAGAACAATGTGTATCATCGTGGATACTTTGTGGTCATCACCATGGATAGTTAATGTAGTTTTTTTAGTGTAAGCCGACTTCATTTTAACTTTAGCGATGTCATTTCCGAATTCACTTGTACACAGGCAACTTATTATCTTGAGATAAGGGTGAGTCGGCTACCAAGTGCCCAGCTGGACACACTTGAATCATTCTGAACTATCACTTCAAGTCATCTAGACATCTTTGC